CTACTAAACTTTTGTGAGCAAGCTTTCAATCACCAGCAGATGGCGCCAGTCCTGCACAATGGCCGCCAAATGAATTATAACAGGAGAAGAAGAAATTACTTCCGTCGCCATTCAAAACAATCCTGAAGTTTCTGTTTCTGAGTCTGGGGTTGCGTTTACTTTAAAAATGTCTCAAAGTACACCAGATAAAGACAACCAAACTTCCGGGGCCAAAAAGACCATTTCTTTGCCGATTTCCAGAGTCCGGCTGATCATGAAGAGCTCCCCGGATGTCTCCAGCATCAACCAGGACGCTCTTTTCCTCACCACCAAGGCTACAGTAAGTAGCTGCTGCTGAATGCTAAACCGCTAGCTAAGTTAATAAATGATCTGTTTCATCCCTGGGATCAGCAGGAATTAGCATTGTTAGCTCGATTGTGTTTAAACCTTAGTTTGAATTTTAAGTTGCTGACGTGTGTTTTTTTATTGATATTTTTCTATTGAAGGAGCTGTTTGTGCAGCATTTGGCTCTGACTTCATTCACCAACAGCTCCGGAGGGGAAACCAACACTCTGGAATACAGTGACTTGGCTAAAACAGCAGAGACGATCGACACTTTCCACTTTCTCACAGGTGACCTGACTTTAAAACTATTTATTATGTTTGTGAAGCTTCACCGTGTCCAGTATGTTAGATATACTTTACTTCTTAGACGTAACATTTCATTGAATCTTTTTACTCAACAGATATCTTGCCGAAGAAGATCTTGGCTCGAGATTACCTGAAGTCTTTGGAGCAAATGCAAGATGAAGACGCTGATTTTTGACAAGAAAATGACCTCCATCTTATTTGGACACGTGTCACATCTTTCCACAAGCAAAATGACTCAGAAGAGACACTTTGAACTTTACCTGTGCTTTTAGACGCACCGAGTTCGTGTAGAGATTTTTGGAAAATAAGAAGTTAGAGAAAATGGAGCAACGAGGGAACAAACTGAGAATCAAAAGAAGATCAACTTCAATCTCAAAAACACATTCTTCTTATTTTTGCGTTGCAAAATAAATATTTTGTACTGGATAAAGTGTCTGAAAATCTAAGTTCAGCAGTACTCGACCTTCCCACCTGAAGAGGCTGAGGGTTTTCTGGAAGCAGCGTGGTAAATTTTACATGATGGATCAGAAGTAAATAATTTCTCTTTAACAGACTGTGATAAACCAAGGAAACCTGTTCCTGACAGCTGCCTCTGTTACAGAGTTCCTACTGTCCTAAAACAGAGTTTGGGTTAAAGCTTTATTGTAGAAATGTTAAACATCAATATAAGAGTCTAAATACAAATTCTTATTGATTATAATTTAAACCTATTTGAAACGAGGTTATATTTTGAGCTAAAAAAGCACAGAAATTGCTTGAATATATCAGAAATACTTTTGTTTCAAGTGTGACTAAAGGAGCTGCAGATATGYTTTTCCAAATAAAAATGTACACCTCAGACTAATAGTTAAGGGTTTTTACAAAACTTGTACGATTTAGAAAACATCCTATATATGTATTTACAAATCTGTTGTTTAGATCTGATAAAAAATTTAGATTAATGCCACCAAAAGGTAATTACTTAGAGTTGATGGAGGTTTTGAAAGTTTTTTTTAGAGACTTGTTTTAGCAGCATGACTTTTTAACTTATATTTTCAACCTGGGATTGGCTGTAATGCTAAAATATTAGGGTATACTCTCACCGGCCACTTTATTAGGTACACCACGCTAGTAACGGGTTGGACCCCCTTTTGCCTTCAGAACTGCCTCAATTCTTYGTGGCATAGATTCAACAAGGTGCTGGAAGCATTCCTCAGAGATTTTGGTCCGTATTGACATGATGGCATCACACAGTTGCCGCAGATTTGTCGGCTGCACATCCATGATGCGAATCTCCCGTTCCACCACATCCCAAAGATGCTCTATTGGATTGAGATCTGGTGACTGTGGAGGCCATTTGAGTACAGTGAACTCATTGTCATGTTCAAGAAACCAGTCTGAGATGATTCCAGCTTTATGACATGGTGCATTATCCTGCTGAAAGTAGCCATCAGATGTTGGGTACATTGTGGTCATAAAGGGATGGACATGGTCAGCAACAATACTCAGGTAGGCTGTGGCRTTGCAACGATGCTCAATTGGTACCAAGGGGCCCAAAGAGTGCCAGGAAAAGATTCCCCACACCATGACACCACCACCAGCCTGAACCGTTGATACAAGGCAGGATGGATCCATGCTTTCATGTTGTTGACGCCAAATTCTGACCCTACCATCCGAATGTCGCAGCAGAAATTGAGACTCATCAGACAGGCAACGCTTTTCCAATCTTCTCTTGTCCAATTTCGATGAGCTTGTGCAAATTGTAGCCTCAGTTTCCTGTTCTTAGCTGAAAGGAGTGGCACCCGGTGTGGTCTTCTGCTGCTGAAGCCCATCTGCCTCAAAGTTCGACRTRYTGTGYGTTCAGAGATGCTCTTCTGCCTACCTTGGTTGTAACGGGTGGTTATTTGAGTCACTGTTGCCTTTCTATCAGCTCGAACCAGTCTGCCCATTCTCCTCTGACCTCTGGCATCAACAAGGCATTTCCGCCCACAGGACTGCCGCTCACTGGATGTTTTTTCTTTTTCGGACCATTCTCTGTAAACCCTAGAGATGGTTGTGCGTGAAAATCCCAGTAGATCAGCAGTTTCTGAAATACTCAGACCAGCCCTTCTGGCACCAACAACCATGCCACGTTCAAAGGCACTCAAATCACCTTTCTTCCCCATACTGATGCTCGGTTTGAACTGCAGGAGATTGTCTTGACCATGTCTACATGCCTAAATGCACTGAGTTGCCGCCATGTGATTGGCTGATTAGAAATTAAGTGTTAACGAGCAGTTGGACAGGTGTACCTAATAAAGTGGCCAGTGAGTGTATATTTTAAATTAATTAAATTCAGCAATTTGAGTTTGAAACGTCTGCTGAAGTTTAACTGAAAGTTTAAAACAAGCAGAACAGAAGCTAAAATCAGCAAAATAGTTGCTAATAGCCTGACTCGGTAAACTCTAAAATAAGCAAAAACATAAAAATAAAAGCTAAAAAGGAGGACATGAAAACAAAAATAGAGCAGGAATGCTAACAATGTTTTAAAGGAGGAGATCCTATTGTATTTTTAATGTATTATATGGGGAATATACAGTATTTGTAAATAAAGTAAAAAAAGTATAAAAATTACTGAAACAAACAGTCATAGTACGTAGTTTCTGATCCAGCTGAACATTTTGATATATGAATAGTTTAAATACTAAGAATTATTTGGGAAATTCTTTCACAAAAATAACTTCAGCATGCATTGATCAGATTCACTCATAATTTAAACTTAAGAATCTCCATTTCCTAAGAAAATGCGTGAATGCTTAAAGCTGAACAATTTTAGCTGAATAGCTAGAAAAACTAGCCTAAAAATAGCAACAAAAAAGTTKCTGAAATCGCTGAAATTACCACACAGATACAGGAAAGCACATGTTCACTGAACTAAGCAGTGAGAAACTAAAATAATTAGGTGAATGTAGCCGAATAAAGCTCTATTTAGCTAAAAAGTAACAAAAACACAAAAAACAGCTGAAATTATGAGAAAGCACCTGAAAGAAACATAAAAAATGAAATAGAAAGAAGCACAAAAAGTTGAAATTTGCAGAAGAATATCAGATAAGATCAGAATGTCTAAAAAAATCAGAAAAAAGCTAAATTAAGCAAAACTGAAGTTGAAGGAAGCTGAAATTAGCACAAAGAAGAAAAAAACAGAACATAAAGTAAAAAGAGCAGTGAAAATATAAAAGTGTTTTAAGATGTTTAAAACAGCTCCATTTATTTTCAATGAAAACAAAACATGGCAGAAAAAGCTAAATTTCTCAAAGAGTATAAAATATTGAAGTGCTAAAGGTCATAATGTCCTACAAGATGGAGGTTTTGATGCATAATTTGTGAAAAAAGGACAAAAATGGTTGAACGAGAGAGTTGATAAGCATCACACAGTCTTCACTGACTGATGAGTCTGCTGAGTCGAAGCTGACTGTTGAGCAGCGTCCTCTCTAAAGTAAAAAGCTGCCTCTCCAGGTTGTTCGCCAGCTCTTCTCTCCACCCTAAAACATCTCTTGTAACGGCAAGACGGTTCTTCAAGCTGAACAGGACAAGAAATCAGAAGTTAAAACTTTACAAGAGATTACAAACTTTAAAAGAGAAAAGCTTTTTTTTTCTTCATCTCTGTTAAGTTTTCAGACTGATGTTTCAGCTCATCTGGAAGTTTGAGCTAAACAAGCAATATTGTTTCCAGACTTCTCRAATAACCCATTAATTGCAATTTAAATTTAACTATCGCAGCTGGAGTTGGCTCTAAATCCAACTCAATAGTTACTTCCTTGTGCAGTCTGTGGAATGAAGTCATGGTAATAAAACAGAACATTTAATTTTAATGTTCATGTCTGGTTCTCATTTTGTCTAACGTTTAGCCAAATGGAGTCTCCAATGGGCACAAAACTAAGCCAAACTAGTAAAAGCAGAGTGTTAAAAACAATTGTTTTAATCTATTAAAATGTGTTTTATTATCTTATTATCAGCTGAATGTCTGGCTCAGATTAGACAGCTCCAGTAGTCTTAAGAACAAGAGTAAAAGTTCAGTAAAAGCTGCATTAAAAGGATAGTTCAGACCTTTTACAGTGGGGTTCTGTGAAAATGGTTGTGAACAACTAAAGACATTGCTAAGTCAGATGGGACAAATTTAAAAAAACACAACTGAAATCTGCACATTATTTTTCTCATACTGATGGTTTATGTGTCTAATTTGTAAGCAGATTATGTGACCGGATGYCAGCCATATTGTGCTTCTGTTTACTTACAGAAAGAGCCAAAGTGACAGACAACAAGCCAAACATTAAACAGCTAGAGCCCAAAACAAAGTTCTCTTAAAAATATTCAAATTTAAATAAATTCACAACTAATACAACTTTTGCATTGTCATTGTTTTTGTGTTGCTTATGATATTAATGCAGGAAGTGCTGCAAGCTGCACAGRAAGTGCTACAGTTGTTTGGGTGAAACTGATACTTTTGATTGGAGTTATTTTGTTATTGCTCCACTCAAACTTGTCAGCTCATCGTTCCAGTCTGAATTAAACTCTATTTCTCCAATCAAAGTGTATTTAAAGAGCTATCTGGAACAGGTAAGATGTTAACTGTTAAAAATTTTTTTCATTGAACCCACTTTAAATGATCTAATGTTATGTTTTCCTGCCTAAGAAGATGAAACCTGTTTATTTTTCCTCACCTGGTGAAAACGCCCTGCTCCTGCTTCGCCTCTTTTCTTTTCTCTTTCAGAGAGATGAAAACACTCTCCATGGTCTGCATCGTTTCTTTCACCTTCTGGTGGTCCGAGTGGATCCCCAGGACCTCCTCTCTGGCCTGGTGGTTGTAGGAGAGTCCCGTATCCYCCACGCCGCTCATGGTGAACACGGCCTGCAGGGCGGCTCGGTTCTGCAGGACAAACAGACGGGACCGGGCAAACTCCTCGGGTCTGGCAACGTTTTCCCAGCAGACTGGAGAGGAAGGCGGTAACCAGAAGTGCTGGCTGCAGTTGGCCGTGTTTTCTGGGGAGCTGGTTACGAAGGGACTGTCTGCAGGGAAGTTGTGGAGCAGGTGCAGGAGAGCTGATCCAGAACCCAGTTCCCAGTCCTCCAAGTCTGGTTCCCCTGACTCCTGCTCAGGKGGGGAAGTGGGCCATGGTCCTGCTGGTTCTGCATCCTTATTTGGGGAGCAGGAACCCAGGAGGAGGAAGCAGGATAAGCAGATCCAGGTTTTCACAGTCCCCCGGAGCATCTCCAACCTGGCTGAGACAGGAAGCATCTATAATAACATTTATAGCCATTTTCCACAATTTATCTGGTATTTTTTCTGCTTATAGAAGCTGTCAGCCTTTAAAAGACAACTGGACCTAGGAGAAAAAAGAATAAAAGTGGAACTCACTCAATTCTAGAGAAATAACATTCTGCAAGTTTGTGAAAAAGTGAGTGGAACATGGAAACTTTTCTTTTGGTTGTGTTCTTTCAAAATAAGAGTAAACGATGCAACAAAGAAGCTTGGCTGTGCTGCAAATAAAAGCTGTAAATCTAACAGAAAAGCAACAATAACTGCAGCGACTCGGACAAATTCAAACACAAATTCACTCCGAATGACAACAGAACATTTGTGTATTTTTCATGAACGGTCTTACCTTGTCGAGGAACACCAGTGACAGAGCAGTGTGTGTGTGTGTGCAGCTCTCCTCTGGAGCCTGAAGATGTTGGAAAAAATGAGTCGACTCCAGCCTGCAGCCTGAACTGTTTTCCACTGGCTCAGTTTCAGCAGCCGAAGTCTGCGGCGGGACTGATGTGAAACTCCAAAGGTGTGAAGCTCCTGGTGTTTATGAGGCCATTTTAAAGCTTCTTTAAAAAAAGAGAGAGGTTTATAATTATTTTTCAAAGACTAAATATTTAGTTTTTTTTTCCTGGCAAGCTGTTTTTTCTCTATCAATGAGGGCAACCTAAAAAACAAATCTGTTTTAGATTTATGCAGTTAAAAAAAGAACTTGTTCCAAATACACAACACTTAGTTTCTTTCCAGTTTTCCAGGAAATGCATGCTGTCTTGTCTGACGTTTGCACTCTGACATAAGCAACAAGGAATGGGACAGATTTTTGGCAAAAACAACCACGAATTGCTGTAGTTGCTGTGGAAGAACATGACGTGAGGCACGCAGACAGACAGGAAGTTTAAGGAGGGATTGTCCAACTTCTTCTGTAATACCTCTGAAACATGTGGGACTGATAAAAGATTAAAACGTCATCCAATCAGAACAAAGTTACAGTGGTTTTAACCAATGCTAGTGATATTAAATGGGAATAGACAGATCGATCACGCACAATGACCTGTATGGATTTATCGTCACCGCTTCTCTTCAAACCAAGACCATAAATAAATAAATAAATAAATAAATAAATAAATAAATAAATAAATAAATAAATAAATTTGTTGCATAAGAAGGTGGCATAAACAGATTATACTTAGCTTTAGAAACTGGTTTCTAACAAGGATGACAAGCTTGTTAATTCACTTTTTAAAGACTCAGATGTCCATCCATCATCTTCAGCGTGTCCTGGGTCTTCCCTGGGGTCTCCTCCAAGTTAGAGGCCTCACCCCCCCACCCCCCCCAGGGAGGCGTCCAGGATCACCCTGAACAAATGCTTCATCCATCACAACTGGTTAGTTTTCTGTTTTGGAGTTTATTTACATTAAATCAAAGTAACATATAAAATAAAATAAAATAAATAAAATAAAAATGATAATTAAACTRTGGATCTAAAAGTTCAGTACATCTACAGCACCATCTAGTGGTCAAAATGAGAAATTGCTTCTAAGCAACAAAAACCAGGAGCTAAAAGCAGCACGTTAAAGCAAATAGCAAAAGTATCAAAAGATGAAATTATAGTGGCAAAATATTAGCTAAAAGCTAAAAGTAGTAACATGCTAGCTAAAAGCGACATATTAAGACAAAAGCAATTAAGTGGGCCAAAGTAGAGGATGGTGTTTTTGAACAAACTGAATCTATTTCAATGTATTAWTTTTTTATGTAAGAAAAGTATTCATAAACAAAGGTGAATATAAGTATTTAGGTATGTGACAATCCTCCATTACAGGGACAGGTGAGTTTTTTTGTTTGTTTTATGTTTTAGTGTAAACTGTTCTTTACAGTCTGAGCAACCTTCATAAAAAAATAACAAAACTTTAAAGTGTAATTTAAGGCCCCACAAAAAATGGTATAATCTGATTGGGTCAGAGCCAAAATTTGCATCTTTTTTATAGCATAACTTCTTCATTTCTCAACCAGTTTGAGCAAAGTTTGTATTATTTGTTCTCAGCTTCATCCAATAAAATGGGTTTATATTCAGTTTAGTATCTTTTTCAATTTTTGTCTAATACCTGTAAAATTATGAACATAAATCAGCTAAAATACTGTGCAAACTGCAAAAGAAAAGCAGTTTGATTGCAGACATGGTACGTAAAATAAAAACAAAAAAAAAACAAAAAAAAAACAAACAGAAAGTGTATAGTGTGATTTCAATGGTTTTTAAGCAAAAATTCCACCACATTAAGCATTAAATAGACTCCGCCCTCGCCAGCGGCTGTAGGGACTGAAGGGGCGGGGCCCACCGCAGAGCCCCGCCTCCTCCAGGCTCCCGTCGTCGGCGTCACCGGGAGGTGGGGGKGCGCCGTTCTGGTCGTGAGCAGCTCGGCACCGACAAGCGCAGCAGCTGGCTGTCACCCTCTACGTGCCGCGGGAAGACTCGGGCGCCTCCCGTCACTCGTCGCGGTGAACGACATGGCCTCCGACGGCATGGACGAGCGGTCTCCGCTGCTGTCGGGCCCCAACTCGGAGAATGTGACCCCCACCGCTCCCCCGTACCTGCAGGATTCAAGTCCCCGAGGTAAACACACACACACACACAGCCCCGCAGCTCTCTGCCTGTGTGCTGAATCATTTTCAGGGCGGATCGGGTTTGTGCGTAAATAAAAACCGAACAAGGGCCTCTGTGGGAAAGCCGGAGCTCTGCCCCGTGAGACCCGAAGGAGAACCGGAGCGGCGAGGTTGGAAGAGGGGCCTGCAGTTTGTTTGTTAGGGCAGAAATGCTTACATCACGACCCGCCGAGGCCTGAGACGGTCCTGCAGGCTCACAACAATAAAGATGAGCAAAAATCATCCACAGATGTGGGCGTTCATGTTGACTGTTGGAGGAAGAAGAGGATGAAGGCACGCCACAGCCTTGACGTGTCCTCTAAAAAAACAGATTTAAAGACATAGATGGCAGCTGATTGTTTGCACAATAGAGCTGGGACTAAGATAAATCGTTGCAGGATTTCTTTGCAGATCCAATCATCTCTCAGGTGTGATCTCTGCTGGACATTTACTCTGCATTTTCAAAATAAAAGTCGCATCAAAGCCACTTCAAGTTGGGAAAAACATGACCACACACGTGCACATTCTCTTCTGCTCCTTTGGCTTTTTGCTGGAGGCTGCTCACCCAGATTAGACGAATGAATTAATTAATTCAGACACATCATCAAAAAGTGGTCTAATTTGACAGATTTCCTCACGGGATTGAGGATCAATGGAATATGAAACAGGTAAATCCTGAATGAATGTTGGGAAATTCCATGACCTACTTTCTCCTGCCTCTCTGCAGACTGGATTATTGGCTAATTCCACTGAGAGTTCAGCCAATTTGTAAATCGTATTAATTTAGTCTAATATGTGATGTTCTTGTAAAAGTGGAAAATGGTTCAGTTCAGTAACATACTTTAAAAAAAACTACATTTTATTAGTAAAAAGTGGCCTCATCGTAACTATTTAATTTGAAATTACAATTCATATAAATAAGTTGTATAAAACAGCATATTAACAGTTTGTTAATAAGTAAGATGATTACAGAGAATCAGCTGCTTGTTTAACATTGTGTTGACTCAGTTTCAGGAGCATGCCTCAAGTGGCCAGCTGAGGAACTGCAGTGTTTTGMATATCGTGGCTTCATTTTTCAGACCTGGAGGCTGCTGTTTTATCTAAATTCATTTCTGCTGCTGTGCTGAAAACTCATGAATGAGGCTCATTGTTGACCTAAAGCACAAACTCAAGGCCCGCGGGCCAAATCTGGCCCCTCATTAACACTTTAACCAGCTCCAAAGTTAATACATTAACTGTGATTTTTTTTTGTCACTGAATTTAGTGCATTCTTCTCAGGACAGCCGGCCAACTTTCAAGCCAATAAAATACAATCAATAATCTTTGATTTTGGAGTGGAAAGAGCAGCAGAGAAGTGACTTTAATCATCATTTGCTGTGGTTTTTTTTCTTATTTTAAAGTGAAATGATTAGATTTTTAGTAGGGTTGGGTGATATTGGCAAAAAAAATCATGATTAATTGTGGTATTTAGCAGATAATGATTAATTTGACGATTAATCCCCTGGAGTCCCTGGATATCCTTATCTTAGTCACATGACCAATTTAGTGGGAAAGATTTGCTGTTCGTAAAAATCTTTTTCAAATTGTGTCGAAATCACAGTCTTTAGGCTATACTTCACACTTTAAATAGTGTTGATAAATAAATTACAGAACTTTTGTTTAAATGTTCGTCATATTTGAAGCGGAGAGGAGCACTGAGCGGACTGACCGGGGAAATCTCCTGTCAGTCTGCCTGGTGGCGTTAATTGTATTCATCGTCAAGTGCCAAATAATAATCGATTGATGTTTTTGTGACGATTAATTGCACACGATACGATTATGCCCAACTCTAATTTTTAGTGAGGGTTTTTTAATCTGATTTCCTGGATTGTGATAAAATGTATCTCTAAGAAATAATAAATCTAAAAGTTTTTTGGTAAAGTGTAAGGTATAAGAAATAAATGCTAATGGTGTGTCTTAATCTTTTTTCTTTTTATTAGGACATGTATGTTCTAAATGCTACATAAAACACAATTTGGAAAAGGTAATTTGTACATCTAAGGATAATTTGTTTTATAGCTTTTCTTTAATAAATATTGTCGGAACCAATTGGACCAAGTTTTGAATTTCGGCCCCTTTGTGTCACTGAGTTTGACCCCCCTGACCTAAAGTTCTCATTGTGAGGATAAAGGATGTTATTTTTAGTAACCGCCATCTTTCTTGTTTTTGTTTTGTTTTTGTTATTTTCTTAGAGAAGCATATATTTTCATGCATTTTGTTGTTGCGTTCATTTTTTAAATAAAGGTGACATTTTACTATTCAAGAAGATGATGACCAAGTTTGAGACTTACCTGACAGGTGTTTAGCGTTTGTTGAAGCAACTATTGCCAGTAGAAAAGTTGCTTATCTTGTTGGGAGTTCTGCGTCTGGTAGGTGCAGGATGAAGCCCAGCAGATGTTTGGGTACGAGCTGATTGTTTTAGCTGTTGTAGTAGCATCATCTCGTTTTACCTCAGAGGACATTGAGTCAAAACCTGCATGTGTTGTATTTGGTTTCAGATGTGCATTAGGACAAGTCGATGCACCGAGCTGAGGGGGGGATGAAAAGGGTCTCAGATAACAGCGAGAGAGGGGCTTTTTGAATTCAAACATATGAATAAAGAGGAGAAAATATTTGTATTGGCTTTATAATGTTTTTAAGAAAACTTGTTTGGAGGATTTTTATGTTAGTAAGATATTTTTTTGAATTGAATGCAAATTAAATCTTTTGAAGCTGAATCTTTTGGGTTTATGTTTCCACTGCTAAAAGTCATATTTCGTGTGTTTTCCCGTCTCCTCGAAGCTGAACTACCTCCTCCGTACACCGCCATCGCCAGCCCCGACGCCGGGGGCGTGCCCGTCATCAACTGCCGCGTCTGCCAATCCATCATCAACCTGGACGGGAAGCTGCATCAGCACGTGGTCAAGTGCACCGTCTGCAACGAAGCTACGGTGAGCGGAGGCTGAAGATCGCTCCTGTATAAGTGTTCTGTAGAATTTAGCATGAAACCAGGTCTGTTTTTGTAACCGGTGTCAATTTTTTGGACTATTAGATGATATTGACCAGTGAAATAAAACCTTTCACTGACTGTAACCACCATCTCATCATGATGGAGATGAGAGCTTTTAAGACATCCTCTTCCTCCACAACAAACCACACGATGGATCGTTAAGAAAATAAGAGCTCCTCCTGAGATTTAGCTATTGGATTCTGAAAAAAAAAATAAATTAAAGTGGGACTTTTAGCGCAAATATATTTTACTAAAACGATAAATCATGAATCCACGATACCAGAATAACGTTGGAACAGGTGTAATTTCACGCGTCGTGTCTGAAAAGCTTTAATTAAGCTGCTGTTGAGTTTTTATTTTCTCAGAAAGCTGATGTTTGATCGTGTTTACGTCCCAGCCCATAAAGAACCCCCCAACAGGGAAGAAGTACGTGAGGTGTCCCTGCAACTGCCTGCTCATCTGTAAAGACACATCCCGGAGGATAGGATGTCCTCGACCAAACTGGTTGGTAACTTTTGCTTTCTTTTTTTCTTTTTTCCTTTTTTGGATCATCTTTCTGACTCATCACAAACTTCTCTCCGCTCCTTCGACAGCAGACGCATCATCAACCTGAGCCCGGTGATGGTGATCCCCGAGGAGCAACCCGCCCAGCCCGCGCTGCCCATCCAACCCGAGGGGATGAGGGTGGTCTGCGGTCACTGCGGCAACACCTTCCTGGTACGTAACCCACCCCACAAAAATAAAAAGTTAGTACCTTCTTTTAAGTCCTTCTGAGAGCCTTTATTTATGTAGCATCAGCAAACAATCTGCATTTTTTTAAACTTCTTGCTTCTCCAATGAGCATCTCCACTGTTCTTTTAGCAGATTGCTTCCTTTTTCGTGTAAAATGACTGACTTTGATACTCAGGAACCTTTGCTTCATATAAAGTGTAAAGATCCCGATTTGTGTTTTTCCAAATCCGTGCTGTTGTCCTCTCACCTCCTGCACGTTGTCGCTCGCGGCGTCTGCAGGGCAGCAAGGACGTCGGGTCTTTACAGCCGATGTCTGGCCTCCCCAGCGACGGCTCCGCCCCGGCTCAGCGAGAGGTTGAGAAATCTGCTCGTACCGCTGGACGTACTGACAACAGCCTAACCTGCACGCTGATGATTATATGACTTTCTGAACTCCACGCTTTGAGCAGAAATCATAAAAAATATCTTCTCTTTTATGATGRCATCATCTTTAAATCTTGTTTATACTGAAGCCAGGTGTGGGGAGCCATGTATTCAACATTATCAGCCTGCTTTTTAAACCTTAACTCTAATTAAAATAATATATAAATCTAAACAGGTAATTTCTCAGTAAGTTTTGTGTTGATTCTTGTTAAAATACAGCGTCGTCGAGTGTTCGCCTGCACACGTGTGCATGTTTGTTAAAGATGTTAAGAGTTATATTTTATTAATCTATTCTTTTATTCCCTTCCAGTGGATGGAGCTTCGATTTAACACACTAGCCAAGTGTCCCCACTGCAAAAAAATGTGAGTTTCAAGTTTTTGTAAGTTTAACGTTCAGTTTTAATGTTTTAAATTTTGTCTTTTAATTAGTTTGAAAGGTCAGCATCCTAAATAAATCTGTTTACGAGTCCTCATCGAGTTTTATTAAGTTTAATATGCTGCATTATGTGTATACATTTTCAAGACTCTGCAGGTTTGTTTTTTATGATCGTAATTCAATACAACTTTATTTATAAAGCACCTTAAAAGCAACACCGTTGGCCAAAGTGCTGTACACTGATAAAAACAAGCAAACAAAAAAAAAACCAATAAACTGAGTAAAATGAGACAATCATAAAAATAAAATCTATAAAAACTTTAAGATCATCATCTCAAACTGAGTTAAAMTCCACGGAGATAAAAAAATGTTTTTAAGAGCAGATTTGAAAACAGGAAGTGAGTCGGCCTGTCTGATTCATTTATGGGCTTTAATGTGGTAAATATATGTTTAAAACAACAGGTTGTAACTGAACACAAAATAACCAGATAATAAGCTTTTGTTAGCAGTAAGAACCTGAGCTCATAAACACGACAAAGCTCATTAATTCTGCTTTTAAAGTTYTTTAAAGGGACAGTCTGGTCATTTTATTAGCGATGTTCTGCCACCAGGGGCGGAGCTACACAGGTGGTTTTTAGAGGGGCACATACACGTAAATAAAACTACTCTGGACATTCATGATGGYCTCCACAGCTAACTTCAAATGGCTGTGTGATTGTCTGAATCATTAAAAAAAACACGTTGATTGTTAATTCCAGCTAACTGCTAATGCTAGTTTCAAAAAGAGCTATAATTKAGCCATTTTTAAACACACACAGCTGAAAGTTGCTGTAGCAGTAGCCAAGAAACATCTTTACAAAATCTGAATTCAAATTCAAAATCCAAGATGGCTGCCAAAGCTAATTTCAAATGGCAAACTCAAAAAGTGATTCTGAATGTTAAAAAAAAAAAGAGCAGCCCCAGCATCTTTGAAGTTGTGCTTCTTATTGTTCACGGGTGAAATTAACGTTGCGGTTGCAGCTGTGAAGGATGAGAAATGTGAGGGAAAGAAAAGGCCGAGTATCAGGTGGTCAGCCCCCCCTAAGCCATCCAAATTCCAGCTATCCCTGAAAAATGCTGGAGTCCCRTCACATGAGAGGCATGTGACGGCTCGGAAGGAAGAAAAGCTGCCAGTCTGCACCTCGTGTGTGTTTCTGCATGAGTCTGGATTGATACGAGACTGAGAGCTGAACATGTGACCGTCCTCAAACTTTATTTTACTTGGAAAAGTAAAAATGAGAGGGATTTTTTTTGACTCWTAAGAACGTCAGAGGTCTGTGAAGGAAAATCACCAGAATTTTTGGAGTGATTAAAATAAAAATATTGTGGCATTAGTTATATTTAATGTGTAATAAAATTTGTTAATGAACAGTTTTTTTTCCTAGAAATTTGATCATTTTAATGTTGTAAGAAGACAAAACACTCAAGATTGAAAAACAACAWCTAAAGTGTTTTTAATCTCTTTTTCCATTCACAAGTTCTTTTTGTTTTTGTATTTATTTATTTTGTCTCCTCTGGCAGATCTTCTGTTGGCAGTGCTCTTCCCAGGAGGCGCTGTTGTGCTTATATAACCGTAGGAATGATCTGCATTTTCATCGGAGTCGGTCTAACGGTAAGTAAAACCTGTTTGGTTTATGTCAATAATGTTCTTTTTCTTCCTTTAATGTTAAAATTAACAGAATTTTTCAAAAACAACAGATAAAAGCTGCTTTTAGTGCAGTGTTTTTCAAAGTRAGGGCCACCAGGGGGTGCCGCAGAAAGCTGGAGGGAAGTTGAAAAATATATTAAAAATTAAAACTAATAAATGTTTTTAAATCAATCATTATTTTAAAATATAATTTATAATAATTAAAGAGAGCTTTTCGATATGTTTGAGTTCTTTTGTTCTGTTCTTTTTGTCAACAGTTTATAGAAAAATTGGGAATATAAMAATATTTAAAACATGTTAGTTAATAACGCTGATTGTGGGGCCTCGACATGTAAAAAAAAAAAGGGTTTAGTGATACAAGTGGTTTTTTTTTGTGTTTCTCCTGTGTGAAAACAGGTCGGTACTCGTGACTTTGCGAGACGCTATAACGCCACCTACGTGTCCTGGGCGTTCGCCTACCTGCTGGGGCTCATCTGCCTGATCCGGGCCTGCTACTGGGGAGCCATCAAAGTCAGCTACCCGGAAAACAGCTTCGCCTAGAGACAGAGCCGTGCCTGGCTGGTTGGAACCCACAAACTTTCGCTTTCAGTTGTCATTTTTCCGAGACCCCCCCCGGATTTGAGGTTTGGCGAAGTGCAGAGAGTCTGGAGTCTGGTTTGAAGTCGTCTTTTTTTTGTTTGTTTGTTTGTTTTGTGTCTGGAACAGTTTGAGTTGCTGAGCGAATCCACTGCCTGCCGTTCAGTCTGGTGCGCCACATCCTGGCTAGGTTTTTTTCTAAATTCTTTTAAATTAATGGAGGATTGGGATTTATTTTATGTTGGAAACCATGGAAGGATACAGTATTTTTACTGACCGACACGATGGCGTCCACTTTTTTGTTTCTGACCAGACCAAACTGAGACAACCGTTTTGCCCACTACATTTTTATGCAATTCTGAGTTGTTTTGCTGCTAGTCGAACTCCTGCATACTGTATTGTAACCTCATCTCTTGCCTGTGTACTCAGAAATACTATTACCTTTTGATTTTAGTGCTAAAATAAATCATTTTTTAAAAGATTGTCCTTATAAAACCCATGCGTGCCAACTTTGCTGCCCAGTGTTAGTAAAGAGGAGCTTTAGATCAACAGATGACTTTTTATTAAAGTGTTGACTCTTGTTTGTTTTTGTGTGCCTGCTGTTCCCGAGTCATCGCAGCAATAACCCCTTCAGGTTATTTTCTCCTGRTCTGACTCGAGCCTTTTGCATGTCGACCCACTCGTGTCAGCGAGGCGGCGTTTCACTCTGTTTTAGAGGACGGTTGTGACGTTTCCATCCTGAGTTTGAATGTAAACCTTCTTCCTCCTCCTCCTCCCTGAGCTTGTATCGCTGCTCTCCGACCTCCAACATCCCATGTCTGTATCGTGACCAGTAGGCACAGTTTGAACCTTGTTTTGAATGTGATAAAGCAAAAAAAAAAAAAAAAAAAAAAAAAAAAAAAAAAAAAAAAAAAAAAAAAAAAAAAAAAAAANTCTCTGTACATAACTTAAATTCAGTATTAGGGGAAAGTGAGTAGTGTGAGAGGTGGGAAAAGGAAAGAAAATGGTTCATGGGTGTTTTTAAAAATGATAATTTATCAATAAAACATAAAAACTGTTTGGATTTTTATTTTTTTTTTGTTGTCAGTTTTCTTACTTTAAGCTGCAGTGCTGCTGATTTTCCACACTGTGGTGCAGTTTGCCAAGAAATAATAAAAATACACCTGTTCAACTTAAGGACCGCGGGCCAAATCTGGCCCTCATAAACGATTTATCTGGCCCAAAAGATAAAATTTTCAAATGGAAATAGATTTTTCTCTTTTTGTCACATTCTGCATGACAGCTGGCCAACTTTCAAGCCAAGAAAACGAAGTTAGAATTTTTCAGTAATCTTTGATTTTTATTTGGAAAGAGCAGCAGAGAATCAATTATAATGATCTTTTTCTTATTTTAATGTCAGTGAAATTTTCTATTTTTTTACATGATTTGCTGGATTATGATAAAATCTTGTCTTTATTCATTAGGTCATTTCTAAATGCTACTTAAAACATACAGTAATTTAGAAAGAATGATATCACATTTTTTTTCAATAAATATTGACAGAAATAGGCTCTTTGCTTGGATCAAGTTTTAAATTTTAGCCTCTTTATGTAACTGAGTTTGACACCCCTGAGTTAAATCATAATGTAAAAACAACTAAGATCAGTTCAGTAAAACATTTTACTTTTAATCATCACTAAAGTAAATCCTGTTGCGAGTTAAGGAGTTTCATACATATCTTTAAAGTACCTGTGACATGCATATCCTTCAAATACAAAAAGTCAAATAAAACATCTTTAAACCRAAAAAAATTGGCATAATACACATGATTTTACCCATTTTGTCACATTACTGGCCTTTTTCCTTTACAACTTAGTTCAGCCAAAGTGAAAAAGGAAGTGACATCAAAGGGGAACTCTTTAATAAAATAACTACCCTGGTCTTTGTTTATTAAAAGAATATTATTTAAACATTAAATTTTCTTCACCTCTATGATAGTGACTCAAAATAATCTAAAGAAACATCAGACTCTTCTCTACAGTCTGTGTTGTTAGCTTTTGTAACAACGTTCTGTTCACATGCAGACATTCCCCTTTGACATCACTTCCTGTTTCTTCATATGAAAATATCTCAACAACCGTTCATCTCAGCAGTGGCAAATTTCTTTTGCAATGTGTTATCAATGTTATCTTTCCAAAAATGCATTCATATTTATTACAAAAAATTGGATGTCACTGGCACTTTAATGTTCATATTTAAATGAATGGAACTTCTTGAGTTTGGTCAGCAAGAAGGAAATGTACGCATCATACACAATAATATCTTTATTTAGGACYTTTGTCTCAATTTGACAAATAAATATGACATTATGAGCTCCCAGGAGCTGCTACAGTTGTATCTTTTTAAGACCCCCTATCCTGACTCTTTCACACACATGTCTGTTTACATGAGGACATTTCATTCAAGACACAACCCGAAAAATAATGATCGCAACGAAGTGTCTGAATCGCTGTTCTAAACTTAATTCAAAGCAGATTCTTTAAAACAKTATCTGAGGCTAAGATGTCCAATGTCCTCACAAAAATAGCTATAAATACACAAACACATATTTTGTCTCTCGAGGTGTTTTCTGGACCTCTGCAGATGATGTTACAAACACAGTGAAGATGTCAGACCATCAGCTGGATCACTGTCTGCTGACGTCATGGCTTTTAGGATAAAAAGAGCTGTTTTCTAAGACACTTGAGCTATTTCAGCTACTATCAAACTATGAAGGAACATTGAGGTCATAAATACTAATCACCATGACTTCACAAGTTGTGTCAGTGTGTGTGGACCTGTGTGTGTGTGGGGCTTTCTGGTTTGGAGGTCTCCAAACCTGTCTGCGACGAACGGCGAGGGGGTGCTGTTTCAGTTGTTGTTGAGGACCCACCATGAGGCTGCAGGGGGGATGAAGAAGAAACAAAATGATCAAAACTCTTTCATGCTGTTAATATCAGACCCCTCATTTTGTTCTCAATCTCCACTGCAGTTTATTTCACACCTCAACCTTTTTTTATAATGACTGAATGTAAAACGTTCTTACAAGGAACAAGCATGGTAGTAAGGGTCTCAGGAGTTTCCAARAAGTCCACGTTCCCCCTCTGGAAGGTTTTACTGTAGTTCGTCTGTAGGTGACTGAAAAACAGAAACCAAAATAAAAAGAGATGACAACTCTTCACCTGAGCCTCACCTTCATCAGCCAACAGAATATATAAAAATATAATTYATGTATTTTTTATAAGTCTAAAATGACCTCATGAGAACAAACATGAGTAATCTAAATGAAAGCACAAAATAAAAAAATTTATCAGTTTTTTTRGACAGATTTTTAATAAAGTTTTAATTTGGATAAAATCCCTCCCCATTTTGTTTAATCTTCTTCAATATAGATATTCAATCAGATGTAGATTTTAATGAAATATTTATGAAAATTCGTTCGTGACTTWTGGAGTAATTCTGTGCACGAAACGAAACAAAAATACAAGCAGTAACGCTAGCTTAGCGGAGGTAATTATAGTAACCAAAGTGTTTTATTACTCAGACATCTCCTTAACAAGTCCAGGCAGGATAAAGAAAATAACTCAGATAATGGGAACAAGCTGCAGTGTACTTTCCTTGTGACATAAACAGATTCTTACTTCTTCCACACGTTGTTGTGCTCCCAGAATTCATAGAGAATGAAGTGGGACTCGTTAGCCAGGCGCTGAACTGCGATGCTGCAAAAAAAAAAACAACAAAATAAAATAAAAATCCCAAAACAAAAAAGAAAGAAAAGAGAGAGAAATAGAGAAGACAGAACAAGTCATGCAGTTTGCTTCAACGGGTTCATCAGTTGTGTGGATTTACAACACAATATATTTTTCGGATATTTTTACAGGTAAAGTTTGCTAAGAGGCAACATCTGCTTTTTATTTCAAGGAAAAAATGAGCAAAAACAATGAATAAATCTTTAGAGAATAAACTGTCGCAGCTTGTAAATGTCCTTCATGCTGCAGGATTTAACAGTCAACGCAACACTGATTTGACTTAAAGATGGTTTTAGTTGCAGACAGTTTGAGTCTTAATGTTAGAAATAAAATCAATGCTAATCTTCTTCAATTTTCTGACTGTTGAAATAGTCTCCAGGAGTCAAATGTTCTCGTTTGTCCCAAGTCAATATGATGCTAATTAACTCCTAGAACTTCTTCAGTTTGATCTGAGTCATCTGATGTTTCTGAAATCTCAGAACTGATAAAGACTCMGATTAATTGGACAAATTAGTAGAAGTTGCATTTTAACACATATTACAACAGAAAACACAGAGAAAGTTGTTGTGTAACATTTGTCATCAGAGACTTTTTTCTTACCTTATTTATGACAATAAATATTTTATAGGTGTTAGATTATAGGTTTATTTTTCATTATTTATTGATTTAAAGTTGTGACAGCAAAAAAAAAAGTGTCTCGAAATGACAATTTGCTTCCTTCTTGTTACTTTTCAAACCATAAAACTGAGGATGTTTAGATCCTCCAGAYCTTCTGTTAAATGTTTTTTTCCACATCTTTCATTATGTTATTTAGCCAGTCATAAAATAATAAAACATAAAATCCAAACAGTGCGTGGCTGATAATCCYACGTGACAGAAGTGAACTGACTGTAGACATCCAGTCTGAGCGCAGGCACAGTCCATGTACTGCCTGAGAGCCAAACGGAACTCCTCCAGCTCCTCCTCCAGCACCGAGAGCTGCCGCTGCACTATTAGGATGTGCTGTGAACACAACAMACACACAACACACACACATAAACACACGGTCTGCTCCTGGCACAGACAACAGCATGTTGGGTTTGTTCGAGAGCTCAGAAATCCTCYGGCAGAACAAAACATTAAAAATTGATGCAGGTGAAGTTTGACCTTCTATTTGACTTGGAGGAAAATGTTAAGAATCAACAAACGTGTGAACAGGAAATAATAATAAAAAAGAAAACAGTTGGTTTAATTGTGACTCAGCGGCAGATGAGAACAGGAAGTGAACGCTCTGGCTGCTGGCTATCAGCCACACCGTGTGCATTAATGAGAATGAGACTCCTGCAGGTTAATCTGAGCCAATGAAATGATGGAAACCTGGCTGTGTGTGTCCTCTACTCTGAAGCTAATTTGGGAGAAAGACACCGATGAACTCAGATCATWAAAAACGAAGTCACACATCAGGCTCGTGTTGTTGGTCATTATCGGCTTTCTCACCGGCCAATTTCTCCTGAGTGACGCGTGGCGTTCAGCCAATTACTTATTGATTAATTCACACCGATGTCTGCATCAATTTTTGTAACGAGCCGTGACGATGACATGCCATATTCACGTACACCGGTTGATCTCTATTGTAATTATTTCAAAAGTAATCAGATTTCATGTATTAATGAATACATCAACAACAAGCAGCGGCAAACAATAGCAGAAATAAAGAATAATGACATTATGATGGACCGTTTTTAATTAGYTTATCTCTTCCAGTGTAAAAAAAACCCCAAGCTAATTATAAATATTTAATTAAGTTTTCTTATTTAGTGTTGATTTGAGACTAAATGTAACGTATGTTTTTCTTTATGGTCATTTAAAGCGGGGCTGTTTGCTTCAAAATGACTTGAGAACAAGTGAATGTAGTGTTTGAGTCTGTACAAAAATTCATTATATAGCAGTGCCAAATTTAGTAAGTCAGACATTTGTCCTCTAACCCCTGTTTTATCTATTATATAATGACTATAAACCAGGGCTATTCAACTTAATTGCTCCAGGGGCCACAGTTACTGCTGGTCAACAGCTGAGGGGCCRATCATCCAGCAATGAAAGTTATTAYGTAAATAAACCAAGTATTACAAAGATATGTTACCTTTGAATTAGTTTATTTTGATGCATTTAATCATGAATACAACATACAGAACCCTATAAAAGTAGTGATAATTAAACATGATCAAAAACAAAAAGAACACATTTTGCCTCCTATTTGACACAAATAATATTTTGACATCTCTGACAATTTTATTTTCACTTTTAACATTTTATCTTCAACTACTTGTAGTTTTAACTGTCTTGAGTGTTTATAGAAATGTTTTTACCAGCTTCTAGCCATGATTCTGAAGTTTCTATAGATACCAAACATGTCTATGTTTAACTAAAAGAACTTAGAGCAATTAAAGTAGAAAAGCGGGAGTTTGGGCTTAAGAGATGAATGAACCAATTGGCGGGCCGAACTTTGGTCACTCGGGCCACCAGTTGAATAGCCCTGCTATAAACCCAACTAAACTTAGTGTTTAGTACATCATTTCTTTGTTGTAACAATGCTTCTTGGCAATAAATCTTATGTTGTTGGAAAGCCTGTTAATTTCCCTTTTAAATGGCGCCACATTTGTAAGGAACATGCATTTGTGGGATGTGCAGTAGAGCTGAGTGTGTGGGTTGTGCACATGAAAAATTTGCCAAATTATCTCTGCAGGGTTTGTACACTTTTCCCCCACAGGAACATTCAAGCACTTTTCAAGCATTTTCATGGTGAATTGTCAAAGCTTTTCTAGCGTCAAACTTCGGAGCAGTCTGTGTGTCTCTGTGCGTCTTTCTGCAACACACAACTGAATATAATTCTGCAAGTTCTATAATTAATGTGGAATGGGCATGTAGAAGACATCAGAGGCACAGAAGTGAAGGAAATTCTGTGTATTATTAACTGAATTTAAGGTCCAGTCTTGTATTTGCAGTCATATACTTTAAACAGAGAAAGAGAGAGTAAGTGTYGATCAGTGTGTCCCAATCTGGGACATAAAACTACTTTTGCATCGTGGCTCGAGAGCACCGACTCTTCYAACATGAAAAGATGCAGGAAACTATTTAAGGATTTGATTTTCGAGCCAGCAACTGCCTAGAGTGCTGCTTTTCTGCCGCTCACCTAGACACARTTACACGTTGACTAGCCCTGCAATAAAAGTACTGTTGCATCTGYTTTATATTGCTAATATTAAAAAAGGTAAGGATATTACAATAGCTCCCAATGAAAACATTTCCCAAAGTATCTAAATTTTATTTAAAATTCTTCCTTAGATGAACTTATTGCATCATTACATGTTAGCCAACCTGTTTGTTTATCTATAATAGAAGCTGGAAGGAGACATCTTTCCGTGAGCGTTGTCACTAATGTGATTTTCACAGTTACTCCTCGGCACAGAAGCATTTCTCAGCTCTGAAATGAGTGACACGAATCCCGACTGGCGACAGCAATGTGTTTTTGTTGTWTGGCACGTGGACTCTGATGGTTTTTTCACACACCGGCACGCTGCGAGCATCATTAAAAATACACTCACATGATCGCAGCCCTCACCGCCGCAAGCCAGGAGGATATCTTTTAGTTGTTGGTGTATTTACATCAATTTGAAGCTAAAACAAACATTAACTCCTGTTCATGTTGCGTTTATTATATCTCTGACTGAAACTGTRTGCATAGATACCCAGCTCAGTGTGGCCTCTTTGTCTAACAATGCACCGAGCGAGGCTGTAAACACCAGGTTCACAGTAAAGTAAAGTGGATGAACTGACCGATTTGCTCTCCACAACCTCCTCCTCCACTGGCTCCAGACGAATCTCCTGCGAGAACGGAGAAAATGTTATTTAACAAGTTTCTTTTTTTTATCAGTTATACAAATCAGCAACAAATAGGCCAAGTGACCTTTTGTTCCAGGCGGTCGATAAGCTTCTGCAGCCTGTTGACCTGGATCGTCCACTGACAGTCTTCATCATAAACACCTGAGGGGAGAGAAAGGAAGAAGCAAAGAGGGGAGCTGGATGTGAACAGAGGAGCCACATACACTGACTTTGTTCCAAAACATCTTCCTCCATYGATTCCTCTATTTTAAGTAGTGACTGTGTTTATTGTTCAACCAGGCCGATCAATAGAAAAGCTTTGAGTCTTGTCTTTGTTCATGGACCTCCTGGTAATCATAGGTGTCGTATCGAAGGGACAAGTACAATGAAGCAAGACTGAAAAATATGGAGGACAARAATAAACATGAAGATTACAAGAACAAAACGTATGAATCAAGCCGATTTAACATTCGTTTAAAAAATCAGTGGCTCATTATGTTCAGATAYATGTCTGTCACTCCCTGACTGCCAGGTTAAAAAGAGGCAGACAAAACCAGACTGAAACAGTCGYTGTGTGGAAACTACAGCTCTTAAAATGATTGAGCTGTTAGCGGCAGATAACTGTAGAAATCTAGGGTATATGACAATTTCGAAGAAAATAAAACTGTTGAAAATTTAGCATTTTTCGTATTTTGGGTGGGATTTCAGAGAAGATCTAAAGTTCTACAGCAGACAGAGACACACTGGGTGAAAGACGACAAAAATACCTCAGTTTTAATGAATAATCTGCATCTGTTATGRCAGGTATCAAACCCATTTTYACTRAGGGCCACGTGAGCGTTATGGTGGCCCTCAGTGGTAAGAAACTTTGACTAAACAGAAACCGTCATGTTTCTTGTCAAACTGCTACGACTGAGCACGATAACAAATCATAACTGAGCTCTACCTGGTATTTCCTGCATATAAACAGTGTTTTAACACATCCTCTTAAAAACACTGACAAGTACTGCGTCTACGACTGACCAAATGAAATAAATAATACAGAAATACTATTAAAAGCATTACGAGAGTTTTACTCACTGTTGAGTTGTAGTAAGTATTGAATTTTGAACTCTCCCACTTTCCAACAGGGAATTCCCATACATAATCAACATGCATTGCAGGAGATGTAGTTTAYGGTCAATGGTGGCTTTAAAGCAGATTATTTTGAGACATTAATACAAGACTGTTCTACTAAATTACTCAGGGAGCYACAGTTACTTAAAGCCAACAGCTCAGGGGCAGGACAAATATTATAATATTATCCTTCACCTTTTAAATGTGTTTATTCTGTTGCATTGAATCATACATTTAAAG